CTGGCGGTTGCTTCGGTCCCTCTACAAGAAGATTTTATGTACCGGGAATCCATCGTATTGGCTATGTGCGTGACAATATGAACACATCAAGTAATATTCGAAATGTTCCATATGGGTCGTGCCAGTTCTTGATGCAAAGATCGATTCGACCAATTATAGTCTCGAAAAATTACTTGGCACGTTGATTTTGATTTTTCTTGTATGGCTTATTAATGGAAATTAAGCCGAATCATTAAACGCCCAATTTTTTCTCTTTCATAGCCACGTCCTGTGTTATTGGAGCTCTGCTAGTTGACATCTAGCATGGTTTTCTTTTTGACTCAAAGTCTTGCTGCACCGAGGCTGATTTGAGTTTGAAGGGGTTCATTGAGCTAATCTTGTCTGTCGAAATCCTCGGTCAGTACGAGCTCCTGATTACGATCAGAAAACCACCCTCACCCACTCACCTGTAACTTCGAATGTTGTATTATAGAAAGTAACCGTTGTTATTCAACGAATATCTGAATTTCCTTCGTCTTATCTCAATGTATTCATAGACTTAAATGCTGTCATCCAGGTGCTCGGTCACGATAATCCTGATGTAGCTAAGCAACTAAATAATCTGGCTCTTCTGTGCCAAAATCAGGGTAAATATGAAGAAGTCGAGCAGTACTACAAGTGGGTAAAACTCTGAATTAATTGTTTTTTGTCTGACAAGATACATTAGAGATGATCGAGTATCGTTTCAGGCGTGCACTGGAAATCTACGAAAGCAAGTTAGGACCTGATGACCCGAATGTCGCGAAGACCAAGAACAACCTTTCTTCTGCATATCTGAAACAGGGCAAATATAAGGTCAGATAATTCTACTTTCTCGTATTTTTCTCGTTTTCAATAGTCTTCCCTACTCATGGTTCAGTTCATCACAGCAGCCCGAGTTGCTTTGTCTATTTTGTCTATTTCGGAGGGGTTTTCTCGATTTTATTTCGCAATGAGAGAATTGCAGCTATAGAAANATGAAAGAAGGATTAAGTGGCTTCCTATATGTTCGGCCTCCTATATGGCTTTCTTTTATGGTATCCATCTGGGACTTTTAATATGCATTCATGTGCAGTCACATGGTTAGCTGTCATCAATGGGCATTCGCTCTAATGGCACGATTACTTCGCTGACAGCCAGCAATGGCTAAAAGCAGCGAAGCCTTGTTGAGCGTTTACGATTTGTTTACGAATGCCTTTCTAATTGACTTTGACGCGTAGCACACATGTCTCCCCATCCTGTTAGCTCTTCGCAGTTACGAGCCAGTGCACTGATTGCTTTTGCCCATTCCATTCCCAACTCCACTCTTTTCTGACTACTCTTCAGTGCATTTTCTTTCCTTCAAGCAAACATTTACGCTGGGTTACAAACAACTGCTTTTTCATTCGAAATCCATTTTTCAGGAAGCGGAAGAGCTCTACAAGCAGATTCTGACTCGAGCACACGAACGCGAATTTGGAAAAGTATGTGATAAGTATTTTTCTTATGCAACTACTGGTGAAAAGTCATGGCACTTGTACTAACTATTTTTCAGATTGGAGAGGACAACAAACCAATTTGGCAGATTGCTGAAGATCGTGAGGAAATCAAGCAGAAGGGAGGAGCTGATACGGGCCCAATCGCCTACCACGATCACGGCGGTTGGCACAAGGCTGCCAAGGTTGACAGGTAAGTGTTCAGTTGAATTTCAATTGTTTTCTAGAGGCGTGCCTAGCATAAATATTGACTTTGTTCTCATTGTTCAGCCCAACGGTGACGACAACGCTTAAGAATCTGGGTGCTCTTTATCGGCGTCAAGGTAAATATGAAGCCGCTGAGACATTGGAAGATGTTGCTCTGAGAGCCAAGAAGCAGGTAAGTGGCACCTGAAAAGTGCCATGTCTGGAAGCAGAAACACACCACTTTCAAATAGTCTCTATTCGATCCAACTGTGAACCTTTCTTCTTTCCGAAGAATCTAGGTGATACTTTTATCTTGCTCTAACTTTATGTGTTATTAAATGTTGACGCTGATGCGGTCATAACTCCTAACCAGTAAACATTCTGCGTTGGCCGCTTTTTCTACTTCTAAACTCGTATGCGTATCGTCTCTTCACAAAGAAGTGTGTCGTGAAGAATTGCGTGCCGTACGCAGAAAGTTTGTTTGCTATGTTGTAGGCGCAGTACGCAGCGCAGCATGAGCGAATGAATAAACTACTCGGATGTAGTACGCGACTTCAGGTCTGTTTTGTGAGATGGCAACTGTTGTATCGTATTTGTAGTGTAGTGGTTGCACCACTTAATTAAAAATCCGATGCCATTGAAGCCAATCGTTTTGTGTTGTGTGGGGTAGTATAGCATACAGAGTTGGTCATATTAGCTGGCAGGCAGATCCTTGTTTGTTTGTCGTTGTTATGAGTTGATTTCTTTTGTTCAGTACGATTTCCCGGGATCTATTTCATAAGTACTCGCCGAAGGTGTTATGACCGCTCTGATTGAATCATTGTCTGTCTCACAGCATGTGATTTTTCTATCTGTGCGAGTAATTTTCGTATGACAAAACATGGTGAATGAGTTTTGACTCACCCTGTTCTCGGAATTTAACAGTCCTAGTGAGGCAGACAATAGATTCGCATTTGTCGGAAATGTCCGCTTGATAACAGAATGTGCTCAAGCCTGCATGTCGTTTTTTTTCAAACCGCAGTTTCTTCATTTTGCTTTATATTGTGCAAAAATCTGAAATTACGCGTGCGACATCGCCTTCTCGCACCTGCTCAGTCGATGCAATCGATTATTGATTAGCCGCGTGCGAAGGCGACGTCGCACGACGTAAGCGCGACCGTTCTGTGTTGTGATGTGTGTCGCTTTACAGCAGGAGCCGTCTCTACGATCCGCAGACGATATCATGACTTCGTCACAAATATCCCGCATGACAACAAGCCATTCGTCGTCGGGTCTGAAGTCAAAGCTGATGAACGCACTTGGTTTCAATCAATAATCATCGTGGGCATGGCCACCACCAGCCTCACGGGTTACTGTCTCCTATCTCGCTTCTGTGCCTGCTGTCCATTCTAAAGGTACATTGTTACTCGTGGGCCATTGCTCGTTGTATGTAGTTCATTGTAATTTATCGTGTTGTTGTGTTTTATATTTTGGGTTTCTCTGGCAAGAGAAGATATGCAACATGCCTTTAACTTCCTGATTCACTATCAAGTAGAAGCCTCTAGTTGGCCATACCAGAAACGTTTACAGTAATAAGCGGCTTCGTTCTTCGTCGATTCTTTTACCTTTTGTCCAAGTTCGCTAGCTGAAACGGTGCGATTTCCTGAGATTAATTCATAGGCAACGACCTTAAATCTGTAATATTCTTTTGCCCTAAATCTTATTCAACCAAACAACTGTGATAGTACCTGGTCCTGCATTGATAAATAACAGTGAATAAATATAAGTCGTTGTGTTGTGCTTGTGGTGTGACGATTAGATTAGTATTAGATATGTTGTGAGATATTTTTGGTTCGAACCGGATGAGTTCCTTATGATCATTCTTCTAGTTCCAGTCATAACGAATTCGCCTTATACTCAGCTGACGGATGCTGGCATACTTTTGAAAATACTTAGTAAGCGTTCACTTACATGCGACGAATTTTCCACAGTTTGTGAGCTTATTGCTCAACTACCGTCCTTCCTCCCGAACAGTATGGTCGTAATTATACTTTGCGATGGCCATCGCGAAAGGCGTCAGGCGTCGTCTCATTGTACAGCTATGCATAAGTGAGCGACTGGTCGATATTCCTGATATGCTTGGATTTACGTCCTTTGGGCGCTCCAGCATGTTCCCCTGTTGATCTACGCTTTAATATCCTATTTTTCACTCTATTCAAGTCATTCAACATATTAAAAATACCTTCAAAATATATTGAAATCTGAAAGAAAAAAAAAACAATACGAGTGAGAAAAGTAAAATGAGTTAAAGCACCAACTACTAGCAATCCTTAAACGAATGAAATCCCAACATGAGACCTTTGAGGATGCCAACTGGGCGCTCAGCCTTCAGACGATGATGTGTCACGCCCATCGGCGTCTGGCGTTTGACGCCCGCTGCTAGCACCATGCGACAATCGCCTAACATGGGGAGGGCATGCGCTTTCACTAAACTGACGCCAGCATCTGTACGCTGAGTATAACTGCAGTTCCCACTCCAACCTCTCGAAGTACGTTGGTATCTGTGAATTCAGTGGTGCTTATGCTGCGAATAGGGGAAAGTTACTGATTCAATTAATTTTCAAAGTCTCATCGATATAACTTTGTAAAGGAGCTTATCCGGTGCATTTGTGCAATGTTGGGTGGTTGTGAGGAAGTGCGATGCTGTTACATCACATTAATTTCAGATGGCCGAGCAGCGCAAAATGGAAAAGTCGATATTCTAAATTCGTCAGCAAAATCGATTCGATCCGTTTATGGTCTCCGTGCTGTCGCCGTTTCAGTGCACCAACGCCCAGTGTTCTTTGCCGTCGACATCGTTCTCGATGTAGCTTGCTGCTGAAGCGAACGTCGTCCTATTAGCTCTTCTTCCATCGGTTTCCGATCACAGTTGTCTGCAGCTATTATCGTGCCTTATGTAATGCTGTCGTCTTCTATATTCTGAGTCGAGAGATGCTTCTGTGCCGTTGCTGGTCATCATCGTCGCCGTGGTCGTCGTCGCTGCGCGCTATCGTATTTTTTATCGCTACCGTATTAAATGCTTTTGTCTCCGTAGATGTGTGCTGGAGGGACTGCTCCTCCCACTCCACGTAGTGATCCTGGCCAGACGTCCTCCTCGACCTCAAAATATACTGTGGGGACAACTGTGTCCGAGACCCCAACATGAATTTCATTTGTCATACCACCGTTCTAGTCTCTCAAGCCGTTGTGCATATGTGGTTGTGTATGCGGTGATGATTTAGAGGCAGCAGTAATGAGTAATGAAGTGATCTCCCGATCCTTCATTTAGTACATGTAGATCTTCTGGGTGGTTTTTCGCCCGTAGTTTCGAGAACGTATCATCCCATAATGTGTTATGTTGTTTGTGAATGGTGAGCCTTTTTCCAGTGCTTATTCGAATGTCGCCTTCCCTTACCTTCGATTTCAAATCATCGTGTCTTGTGCATCTCTATTACGATTTATTATGTTTTTCTTAATATTTCTACGTCGTTTATTCTAGTAGCCTGCATTTGTTAATAAAGATTGCATTGCGTTGAATTCTGAAGCTAAAAAATTGAAGAACAAAAGAAGCCCATAGAAGGTATGAGTCAATTGAAGCAATCCATAACTTTGGAGAATCATCGAGTTCAGTACCATAACAGAGAGGTCACCGTTGAGGTCACTATTTAGTAAAAACTCGTCTGTTCGAGATGGTGTCCCTCACGGCACTATTGACTTCCTCTTAAGAAGAACTCTTTGGACTACCATTTTCGTTTCAAGATGAAGATGTTGTACAATTAGTGAACATTCTTAACAACAGCATCAAGCAACTATTAGTTCGAAACAGGCTCTACGATAAGCAGTGCATAACGAAAGACTGCAACATATGTCCCTGCGGAAAAACAGGTGATTGCGCACTGATAG